CTGCAATGGTCTGTTCCAACATTAACCACTGTGCGGCAAAGCTGCTAATTCCATTTCAATGATACCGCCAACAGGCTGGTTGTGCAGGCTGCCTTTGATCTACCTTTGACATTCATTTACCTTAATAAGAGCTGGCTTTATAGGACCAATTAAAATTACAGCCTTCTCTTATTATCTCTACTAAGCCCGGCAGAATTACAGTGGGTCTCAGGAAATGTTTTCACTTAACATGGAAGTTATGTATTCTTGGCTCCTCTAGCAAAGCTGGATTTATAAAGTGCGTTTTCTTTAACGCCCTCCCACGCCCCCCACCACAGCCCGCGTAACAAAGATTTCAGGCCCACGGATTAAGAGTTTCCATTGCAAGAGAACTGGAATGTTTGCAAATTGCAGACTGCAGTTTGCAGCCTTTCTTGTTCTTCTTCCTCTTCTTCATCATCCATCCATTCATTCATTTAGGTCAGAGGTTTTCTACCTTTTTGAGTCCACGGCTCCCTTGACCAACTATATTCTTTCTGTGCCCCCCCTGTGGGGCTCAGGAGCCCAGTTATGCCACCCCTTACTTGCCAAGCTGGCAGCCTCTAACCCTTTTTCGAACACCCTCCCTTGTGGAGTGTTCCCTCAGCCTCCTCTCCTCTCTCCTTGGGAGTCCTCTGGGCAGCCGCTGCTGCTGCCCCTGGTCTCTGAGCTGCCCCCAAAGAGAGGTGCTTCCTCACACTGCCCCACGGGAGGCAGAGATGCAAGAGGGCATCTGATGAGGGAGGGAAGGAAATAGGGACACAGTCACAGACCAGTGTTGCCCACAGCACCCCTGACCATCATTCAAGGCACCACAGGGTGCCATGCATAGCTGTCAACTTTTCCCTTTTCTTGTGAGGAATCCTATTCGGAAAAAGGGAATTTCCCTTTAAAAAAGGGAAACGTTGACAGCTGTGGTGCCATGGCACACTGGTTGAAAACCACTTATCAAAAAAAGCTCTCTCCAGTGTACAAAGGAAATTGGATATAAAATGCAGCTAAAAGACACACTCCAATTAAAAGCCAAGACAGTGGTACCTTGGGTTAAGAACTTAATTCGTTCTGGAGGTCTGTTCTTAACCTTAAACTGTTCTTAACCTGAGGTATCACTTTAGCTAATGGGGCCTCCCGCTGCCGCCGCGCCGCCGCTGTGTGATTTCTGTTCTCATCCTGAAGCAAAGTTCTTAACCTGAGGTACTATTTCTGGGTTAGCGGAGTCTGTAACCTGAAGTGTCTGTAAGCTGAAGTGTCTGTAACCCGAGGTACCACTGTATATAGAAAAATATCTCAGATGTGCATAGACATACATTATTCCTCCTGCTCCTCCAGATACCATGATTCTTCACTGACTGAGCACAGCAGGCCATGATGTGCTGTTTATCCAATTTCTGACCACCAAGAGGCACTATGTGGTTTCTCCCCACATGTTTCCTGTCTTCCATTTCACAGCTGGATTAACCCTTTGAATGCCTGGACTCCTGAATGTGCTGTACGTGGGGCTGCCCTTGAAGACAGTCCAGAGGTTGCAGTTAGTGCAGAATGTGGTAGCTAGGCTGTTGTTGCTGTTGCTATTATTATTTCTTAAATTTCTGTACCACCCTTCATCCGAAGCTCTCAGGGAGGTACACAGCATAAAGCGACAATATAAAAGATAAAAAGGCACTGGACATAGTAAAAGATCCATCGCATCCTGGTCACTGTCTCTTTGAGCTCTTGCCGTCGGGATGGAGATACAGGACGATGAAGACAAGAACGAGCCGTCTTAAGAACAGCTTCTTCTCCAGAGCGATCTCGGCCCTGAATGGGAAGCCCGGACTTTGAAAGTCATCTAATCTCCCTTGCTGTATTATACTGTATTGATTAATTAGAGTTTTTATGGAGCAGTCAAATAATTTCGTTGTCCCCGAAGGGGGCAATGACAATAAAGATATTATTATTAAAACACAAAATACATAATAAAAAGAAAAATGGAACAATATCAGCTACTCCCCAGTGTTGCAGCTGGGTGGAACTATGTGTCACTAGTCCTTAGAGAATCGCATTGGCTGCCTGTGAACTAGAAGGTATTCAAGGTATTAGTACCACTCAAGGGTGCCAACTTGAATAAAATATTGTGGTGGCCCAGATAAGCCCCGCCCCACATAATTGATGACATGATGCAGTCCAACACACCATTTGAATGGGAATGCCCATCAACTTTGTGGGGCCCCGCCCCTCTCAAATATTTTATTGGGGGGGGGGGCAAAGCCCTCATGGCCCTAGGAGTTGGCTCCTTTGGTACCAGTATCCAAATCCCTAAATGACTCATAACACAGCCTCCTGAGTGATGGCTATCAGTCTCTCTCATTATTAACTTTTAGGAGATATTTAAAAGCATTCCATTTAGCTGGGCATTTGATGACTGAAAGTCCTGTTCCTGGCCAACCTTAAAATACTCACTTTGGGAGTATGTGACTGCTTTTTGGTGTCTTTCAGACATTTGCCTTAATTGTTTTTAGAAGCCCTTGTACATAAGAAGAGCCTTGGGGGATCTGAACATCTAGTCTAGCATCTAGGTAAAAAGGTATAAAAAAGTAAAAGACCCCTGGACGGTTAAGTCCAGTCAAAGGCGACTATGGGGTTGTGGTGCTCATTTTGCTTTCAGGCCAAGGGAGCCGGCGTTTGTCCACAGACAGCTTTCCAGGTCATGTGACCAGCATGACTAAACCACCTCTGGCACAACAGAACACCGTGACGGAAACCAGAGCACAAGGAAACACTGTTTACCTTCCCACAACAGCGGTACTTATTTACCTACTTGCACTGGTGTGTTTTCGAAGTGCTAGGTTGGCTGAAGCTGGGACAGAGCAACAGGAGCTCACCCTGTTGTGAGGATTCGAACCACTGACCTTCTGATCGGGAAGCCCAAGAGGCTCAGGGGTTTAGACCACAGCGCCACCCGCATCCCTCTAGCCTCATTCTGGTGGACCAGGTGCCCATTGGGAAGTCCACGAGCTGAACCTGAGCTCTACAGTACTCTTCTCACTAGTGATTCTCAGCAATTGGTATTAAGAGGCTGCCTCCCCTATCAAATTGGCAGCCCACTGTGCCTGCACTTATTTTCCTTAAGGAGAGACACCTCTGGGAGCTAAACCCATGAGTTCCCAGTGTAATGTGTAGTTTGGTCTTAAGTGCCAAGAAAACATGTCTCGTTTATCTTACGTGGTGTGTTATGACACAGTATTTTCAGAGTGGCTTTCATCTCACTGACAGGGAGGGAAGGAATTAGGAGTGGGTTTTGTTGATTTTTTTCCAGACAGGGGTGTGCTCTCATTCTTTGTTGTATGACTTCTGGATTTGGCCCATAACAGCAATTACCTAAACAGCCAGTCATCAGTTTCAAATTATTCTGTTTGTATTAATGTACATCCTCCGTTGCAAAACAGTGTTGAGAAAAACTAATATGTAGTAAGATTGAGGTATGGTCGGGTTTGGTTTCATATCAAGAACAGGCTGGGGCAGCCTTGATGCCATGGTTGTTTAGAGTGTTGTAGGGCTTTCCAAGGTTGTGAAATACATGTGTGAGTCTCATTAGCTGAAAAGAATACCAGATGGTTTCACACGGTCTACCTCAACTCATGAGAAAATCAGAACAAAGCCCAAGTGAAAGAGGAACAAACATCTTTCTGAGGCTAGTCCTGGTAGTCTTGACCTGGTTCCCCAAGCAGCAGAGCATTCTCTGGGATACCCTTTTATAGTGTATGTTTCCTTGTTGGAAGAATAAAATACTGAGGCTTGTTCACATGTTGCGCCAAACACAGGTACAAGCCTTCTCTAGTCTCTACACATGGATAAGTGTTTGTGTGAAAGAATGTACACCTATTCGTTTGTACAGGTTGACTATTCAGGTACGCAAACTGTACACCCATGGAACTTTACATGTGAATAAGTACATGTATGTACAGGTCAACTATTGTGTCCACAGATTGTACACTCATTGAATGTTACATATGAAAAAAGTATACACATGTCCAGCACAACTGTTGTGTACATAGACTGTACATTTGTGGGGTGGCACACAATACAAGTCCTACTGAGAGTATGCCCATTGAACTTAATGGACATCATTAACTTAGGTTCATTAATTTCAGTACGTGTCATCCAAGGAGGACTAAAGTGAATACAACCCATTCAACTTTGCCTACAAGTGTACGAGTGTACAGCTCAACTCTTTGTGTACACAGGTATACAGGTTGTACACTGAGCAGGTGTTGCATCCAGTAGCAAGTAGCCACAGGTCATCCGAAGCTGACGAACAAGCATCTTCTGGTAGTCAAACAAAAGCTTAGAGATGGCTATCTTTTAACTTGACATGCTATAGAATTGCATTCCCATCAAACGCAAGCCATCCTTTCCCCATTTCCCAGCCATGTGCCAATTTGTTGTATCCCTGAGTGCAGTGGTTCTTAAACTTTCTTGTCCTGTGGACTGTAACTCTAGTTTGCTGGCTTGTGTGGGCCACCATGTTTTTGTACTTAAAAGGTCTGTTGTTTCCCGTTTTTGACCTAATTTTATCCACTTGGGGGCATATCCACACTTCCTCTTGACCTGCTGCTTCTCCCCCCCCCACCTCCGAAAAACCTCTCTTTGGTGCTCAATCAGAGCCAACAGCAATTGGGTTTTCCATAGATATTCTGATGTAAAGCTAAATAGCAGGTTTTGCCTAGGAAAGGAGCGGGGGAAGGGACAAGCCACTTAGACCCATGCTTTCTAGCCACGGGACAAGCACTTCCACTCATAATAGCATCCTCCCTGTTCCTTAGCATATTGTAGCATTGGCAAAGCTGTTCCACAAACTTCCTTCAATGAACTTCCCATCCTGGAACCTGAGGCTATGTGGTTCTATTCAATTACTCCTACATTTTTATCCCTGCTGAGAAGGCAAGGGGCTTTTCAGTTGGTTTTAATATTTGAACTGGAGAGTAATTCATCCCAGCCATACCTGGTGACACCAGGAATTCAAGGTGGGACCTTCTGTATTCAAAACAGATGATCTACCACTGAGCTAAGGCCCTTCTCCACAGGGTACAGAACCGTCTTTCTCTCATAATACAGTTGTCTTACATGTATTCAGTAGGAATGGGTAACCTGTAACCTCCTGGTATTGCTAGATTCAAGCTCTCATTAGGCTAGTCAGAATGGTCAGTAGTCAAGGCTGATGGGAGTTGTAGTCAACAACATCAAGGGATCATCCAGATTACCTGTTTATTGAGCATTCAATCAGATTTGCTCAGAGGTTTGCCCAGAGGTTAGACTATATCTAGTCTTCTTTGAGCATTTGTTCTGATTTGTCTGAGGTAATAAGATTACGAGCATTCATTCTGATTTGTTTCTGTGGAAGTTACACCGTTTCCTGTCAGTCCATCATTATACCACACTTTTTAGTGCATTTCCCCATAACTTTTCTAACTGCAAAAAATCCATTTGTTTTCTTAAAAGGCAGATTTGTTGTGACAGAGTGCTTTAATCCACTTTTAATTGCACAAACCTAAATTTCCGATGTGCGATTTAATCCCTCACAAAATTCTGGAGATGACCCTGAAGGGCCTCAGGTTGCCCACACCTGTATTCAAGTCTTACACAACTGCAGAACAGAAATAACAACATGAAACCTTCTTTTAAAAATCTTACCCCCTACAGAGAGCAGAGCAGAAGATTGGGTCACTTTCAGCCCTGCACTTAAACAACAACAAAAACTAACGAGCTTTGTTATCCCTTAAGATTGAAATATGTCGTGTTGGTTTTCGATTCTCAGAGTTTGAGAACTGTAAGTTGAAAAACTAATCAAAACATTATTGGAGAATAATGCATGATAAAAGTGAGTCTTGGGATAACTGAGCACTGGTAGCTTGTTCTATAACGGGGAGGAAAACCCACCATAGATTGGCACAAGTCGTGCTCCAAATCTAAAAATGAAAGTCACAAGAAGAATATTTATAATTCTGAATGCTTAGAGGTTGGCTGCCATCACACCATACATTTGAAGCATGCAGCATCCCGCAAAGAATTCTGGGAACAGTAGATTATGAAGGTTCCTGGAATTATAGACCTTTGAGAGCGAAAAACTACAGTTCCCAGGATTTTTGGGAAGTCATGTGCATTAAATGTATGGTGTTCATACAGTGTATCAGGAACTGAGTGTTTTGCATAGTATTTATTCCTCTTCAGAGACCGTTTCAAAGAAGGGTCTAGGTAATAAAACAAGGCAGCGTAATAAAACAAGGCAAGGCCCTGTTTAGATAATACCCTCCACCTATGTTGTAAGCTGAAACCTCTTCCCTGGGATCCCCATTTCAATCCTGTGACCACACACGCTGGCCTAAACAAGTGCATTTCTCATGCCAGAACTAACCGCCTCAGGCTGTGCAAAGCTGGCATGTGAACGCTCCATGTGCTTAGACAGGTATTTGTGGTGTGGGCATTTCAATGTGACTCTACACCACATGGCATGAGGACGAGACTTTGGAAGGTAACCTGCTAGGGTTGCCATACGTCTGGGAATTCCTAGACATGTCCTCTTCTGGAGGTCCTACCTGCCCATCTGGGGAGAATTTTACATTTTAAAGCAAATGGATTTTGGTTTTGGTTTTAATTTTAATAATAATAATAATAATAATAATAATAATTTGTGTGCAGATAACCCGGGCTCTAGCTCTGGCTCTGGTTCCGGTGTGGGTGGATCTGGCTTGGAAATGGTGAAGGGGGTCTAGAAAAGCTAAACAACTTTTTGTTTCTGGATTTTTACCTCTTGAAATATGGCAACCCTACTGCAGGCAGGCAGTAGTGTTTAACTTGGTCCTCAGTCTAAATTGGTGAACAGTGTGGCTTGGTTTTTCCAGATCTCTATGCCCCTGCCGGGCCTGAATGCAATTCTAATAATAATAATAATAATAATAATAATAATAATAATAATATAATAATAATAATACAACCAATGACATTTCCCCAGCTTGGAACATGAAAAATCTGTGAACAATATGCTAAACACAAGTTACGACTAAAACAATGCTCATCATTCATTTCCTCTCTGGGGGGGAAATTTCCTCTGTGGCTGTGGCTTGAAATCAAAAGCACCACATTCAGGATACAGCTGCAGACCTTCCTAGTGTCCCCATTTTCCACAACCGGTTCCACATTTACTGAAGCCATCCCATTTTCTGTGTTTTTGGTTTTTTTTGGAAAAGTTTTTATTGTTAAAACAATTCAGCATTAATACACACATATTGCAAACATACAAACATACATTTCATACAATCCTTTAAAATGTTCAAACATACCTACACTCAATCCCACAGATAATTCCTTTTCCCATCACCATCCACCACCCCTCAGCCCACCTTTGTGTTAGACTTCCAATCTACTCAATTGCAATTTCTTTCCACTTTTTTACTTTCTTTCACACACCTTTAACCTAAGTTCATGTCAGTCATCCCATTTTCTGATTTGATCCCGGAATGTCCCGCTTTCCCTTAGGACACCCCTATTTGCATCGGAGAAATGTTGGAGGGTATGCAGCTGCAAAAGAAGAACCAGGAATGCTATGCAATCTCCAATGCTGCTGTCTTGCTTGCTCAGCAGACTTTTGCTTGAACAATAGAACTTCTCCTTCCTCTCCTCTGCAGCCCCCAAGCACACTCAAAATCTGTTCCAGAAGGTTGGGAGGCCTCTGGAGAAGATTTTGAGCATGCATGGGGTAAGACTCCCAGTACGTTTCCAAGCACAATTCAAAGTGTTGGTGCTGACCTTTAAAGCCCTAAACGGCCTGGGTCCAGTATACCTGAAGGAGTGTCTCCACCCCCATCGTTATGCCCGGACGCTGAGGTCCAGCGCCGAGGGCCTTCTGGTGGTTCCCTCATTGCGAGAAGCAAAGCTACAGGGAACCAGGCAGAGGGCCTTCTCGGTAGTGGCGCCCGCCCTGTGGAACGCCCTTCCAGCAGATGTCAAAGTGATAAACAACTACCTGACATTCAGAGGACATCTTAAGGCAGCCCTGTTTAGGGAAGTTTTTAACGTGTGATATTTTACTGTATTTTTGGTTTCTATGGAAGCCGCCCAGAGTGGCTGGGGAGGCCCAGCCAGATGGGCGGGGTATAAATAATAAATTATTATTATTATTATAAGGAAGGAGACATTCTGTTGCAGAAGCAGAACTCTGTTCATGCAGCCCTGGAATGGAATTTCACTCCTCATGCTTCCTCATATGACATCAGGTCCAAGTGGCCTGTGCAGGGCTGAACACTTTTTTCCAACCCCCAGCCACATCTAGGCAGGATCTACACTGACTGGTAGGTTTCAGACAAGAGTCTTCCCCAGCCGTCTCTGGAGGCTGAACGTGGCACTTTCTGCATCATGCAAAACATGAACTGTGCCACTTAGCTATAGCCCTTCCTCAGTTCCTGTGCACCAAACCCACTAGTACCCACATGCCTTCTCTCAGTCCGCTTTGTGGTATGTGATACATAAGTAGCAGTCAAGTACAACATTCCTTGTTTTCCTAGAGTGGACATGCAGGGGAATGTTTGGTCCAGCCAGTCGAAATTTCCTGTTTCCTCCTAGGCTGAGACATATTTCCTTTAGCATGTGACTAGAGGTGGGCGTAACCTTACCTGCCCAGGTAACAAAGGGCAAGGCACGCAGCACACTTCCTTCTTTTCGACCCCTCTCCATCTTCCTTTTGTCGTGTGAACTGCAGTGACTGCCTGTCTGCAGTCACTGGGATTATCCCCCCATATGGGGTAGATCCAAATGTATATACTTTGTAACTAAGTCTGCATTCAGGGATCCAACTGTGAACTGATGATGTGAGTAAACTTATTTTATATACTTTACACAAGATTGTGGCGTGTTTATTCTTTTAAGAGGGATATAAAGGGGACTTACCAGGAATCTAATAATAAGAGGCTTATACAAGCCTACAACCAGTTATCTGCTGTGTGTTTGAAAGGGGAATGTAAAACTCTGCTAAGTTATAGAACTTGCTAGTGCAAGTTAGGAAGGATATTAATAAACAATATATCCTCTTCTGCCTCCCTGAACATTCCCACACACTTGCCCGCTATTGGGCAGGCGGTGTTGCAGCATGGCACTGTGCCCCCTGCACAATCCACTGGGTGTTGGGGGCTGGCCAGCCAATCGCAGGCAGGCTGCTGTGCAGGATCTCTCCATGGGCAGGGCCAACTGCGCCAGTTGGCATCACTTGGGTCCACGCCCAGGGAGTCAATCGAAGGGCCTGCCCAGGCCTCTTCACCCAGTCTTGGATGGAGGGGAGGTTGTAGCTTCTGCTTGCCCCTCCACAGAAAAGGGGTCCCTGAGGAGCTGCTTCTGTCTGGATGTTCAGGCGGGGCCTAGGGTCACCACACTCCTCAAACGGGGACCCCTCGGGGATACCCCTATTAGATGTAAGTCATAGGTCCTCCCCCCACTGGTTGGGTTGACCCTAGAATACACTCTTAGCAGACCGAGCTAAAATGGTAAAATTTTAAAATCCAAAACCTTCACAGCTGTAATAAATAAAGTTGTGGCCTATTTGACCCATTCTTCATTTACACTCATCCTATCTGGTTATTTTACTATACCAGGTGCGAAGGGGTCAGGGGCCATGGCAAGCAATAAACAAACCAAAGATTAGGTTTGAACCAAGCCAAGGGATATTTTCCTATATCCCATTTTTTCCATAGCCTCTGAAGTCAGTGATCTTCTAGACCGCTTTAAACATCACTTTACAAACATAACACTCAATTATAAGTTAATTGAAATACCTTCAGATAAGGAAAATAAAGATGCTTTGAGTCTCATTAGAGGGGAAAGTGAAGCAGAAATGTTACTTCTGAGAGACCTTCCTTTTTGCTGATGAAAACATAGTGTGGTATCACTTTCCTTCCCCAAAAAATGTCCGAGAGGGACTGATCCAATGGTCCCCTGAAGGACTTTTCAGGTTGCTAAGTGCCATGCAATATTTTCTCTGTTGCAGAAATGGCAACAATATAGACAATATGCTTTTCATTAAACCCAAAGGTAAAGAATAAAACAAATTTCCATGAGTGGAGTACAGACTGTGTGTCTCCTCTGTAACTGGATGCAAACGCCCCGAGAACAATGTGCCTGCTGTCTGTAGGCACGAAGTCCTCTGAGTGAAATTGCAGAAAACAGATCATGGTATCAGAGCTGCATGGGGCACTTAAACAAATGGCTTTATTGAGCTAGGGTTCTCTCACCCTGCTCCCTCCTTCCAGGTTTGTGCTCCTTGCAAATGCAGGGCTGCTCTTTCAAACACCCCTTCTTTCCCAGAGTAATCATTTGAAGACTTTCGTGTGGTATCAAACAAACAAAGGAGGAAGGATGTTCCAGGAAGCAACAAAGAAGTGCACTTTGCTCCAATGAGTGTGACAGAACGGCTCAGAAGACATTGCAATACAGTCATACTGCCGGTTCTGTCTTCAGTGGTTCTAGAGAATGAGAGGCAGTGGGCAACAAGCTATCATGTACAGGTGAACTTCCTTTCACCAGTGCACTCAAAGTTACAGGTTTCAAGAATTCTAGAACTTTGCCACACTGTAACTAGCTAACCAGAAGATCTGGTCTTTATGAAGACCAGAATTAGCACAGACCACACTGTGCGGCCATTCAATTTTCCTTTATGTGGTGCAGTGGTGAACAATGGTAGAGAGCAGTGCTCTCTAGGACCAGGTTTCAAGTTTTCACCCAAGTGGGGAAGCTGTCTGGGTTGTTATACTCTTTCTGGATGTAGGTGAGTGGCTTTTATCTGTCGACATAAAGTGGATTTGTATACATAAATGGGGGCAGGGAGCTGATTTGATAGCAGACAGTATAGGGGGAAAAAATAACATTACAGTGGACCCTCCAGATATGAACTTAATTCGTTCCGGGGGTCTGTTCACACCCCGAAAATTACGTAAATAGAGGCGCGCTTCTGCACACACGTGTGGCATGATTGAGCGCTTCTGCGCATGCGTGCAGCGCGATTGAGTGCTTCTGCACATGCGTGCGTGGCGAAACCCGGAAATATACACTTCCGGGTTTGCTGTGGCCATAACCCGAAGAGTCCATATCCAGAAGGATACGTAAGTAGAGGTACGACTGTACAAACTTTCTTCCAGTCATGAAGTTGTAGAAGTCTAGATTCGCATCTTTTTATAAAGAAAATAAAAGAAAAAAGTTTCAGCCCACCCCTTTTACAGATTGTTAGTGTACTCTAATAGACTTTCTCCATTGCCCATGTTTGGTTAAAGAGGCCAAGTTTCTAAGAATTCTCCCACATTCCAGACTTATTACTTCGCATTCAAGTGCCAAGCAGTTGAGTACACAAGGCCACTCACGGCAAGTCATTTGTCTCTGTTTTCATCGTTGCTTTCTCAAAAGAACCACAAAGACAACACTTAAATCATTAGTGCGTGTTTGGCTTTTTCCTATCAGGGAGTTGAAATACTGGGGACCAAAAGGAAAGATCATCTTTGGGAGAAGTTGATGAGGGGAAACAAGAACTGGAACCACAGCCCAAATGTTTATATGGTGATTTAGTATGATGCTAGACATGAACGTATTCCAAAAATGAGCATTTGGAGTCTTCTCTACTTTTGCCTTGGTCCAACAATTTGTTCTGGGAGTACTCCTCCATCCGGAATGGTTTCTTTATCAGTTTCATGGAAGGGAGCTGATCTGGCCAGGTTCAGGTCCTTCCCACTGAAGGGCACAAAGCAATCTATTTCAGAAATAGAAAGGAATGCTTGGTGTGGCGTGTCTTCAAAGCTACTCTGTTCTCTACCCCAGATGCTTTGCTGTCTTTGACTTTGGATCCCCAGAAGTTGCTGGACTATGATTCCCACCATCCCTCACCACATGCTGGCTGGGGATGGTGGGAGTTGGAGTCAAGCAACACCTGAAGACCCAAGGTTGAAGAACACGGACCTAGCTTAAACAAGGATGCTTGAAATTGGCTTCATAAACATGGCAAGGAGAGCAGCAGCACTTGATTCACAATCTCAGATAAACATCAGTCAAGGAGCAGGCCTGGGTCACTGACATCAGAGATGCTAAAGCCATTGTGACACATTCACAAATGCAACCATATGTCAAACCAGCATTAAGGCTCCCTGTGTTCAATAGGGCTCCCTCCAAAGTAAGTGTGTGCAGGATGGCAGCCTCAGGTACATGTATTCTATATATCCTCCATACCTTCTGAGTGTTCCTATTTTCCAGGGACAGTCACAGATTTACAGAAGCTGTCTCGGTTTCTGATTCAATCCTAGAATGTTCCGCTTTTCCTTAGGATGTCCCTATTTTCATCGGACAAATATTGGAGGGTATGGAGTTATGAAAACCCCAAGCCAAGGAGAAAAGTAACTACAGTGGTACCTCGGGTTAAGTACTTAATTCATTCCGGAGGTCTGTTCTTAACCTGAAACGGTTCTTAATCTGAAGCACCACTTTAGCTAATGGGGCCTCCTGCTGCCGCCGCACTGCCGGAGCCCAATTTCTGTTCTTATCCTGAAGCAAAGTTCTTAACCTGAAGCACTATTTCTGGGTTAGCAGAGTGTGTAACCTGAAGCGTATGTAACCTGAAGCCTATGTAACCCGAGGTACCACTGTATACAACCTTTATAAGACATCTGAAGGCAACCCTGTATAGGGAAGTTAAAAAAAAAAATGTTTAATGTTTTATGATGTTTTTGGATATGTTGAAAACTGCCCAGAGTGGCTGGGGCAATCCAATCAGATGGGTGGGGAACAACAACAACAACAACTGAATAGGACGTCCCTAGTTTCATTGGAGAAATGTTGGAGGGTATGATCCTCAAAGTGCAGATTTTGAACAGGAATAGTATTTGGCCTATTACACATTACATAAAATATTCAGACCCTGCCTTTCCTCATATAGTTCAAGGTGGCCACATAACATATGATTCTAGGCCCACGGTCTCCAACAGGCAGGTCATGCCGGTTGTACTATAACTGGATCTCCCATACGTGGAGATCTACAAGTACCACTTAATATCTGCCCTGTCTTTGCAAGAAAGCAATTCCTCAGCGTGGCAGCACCCAGCCTTTGGAACGCCCTGCTCATCAGTATTAGACTGATGCCTTTGTTATACTACTTTTGCCATCTGCTAAAAACTGTTGTGCTCCAGCTAGCAGGCAAGTAATTTCAGTCTGCAATTTCAATGTGCGATTTTAGCAGGCATCTTTGTTTTAAAATTGCTTTTTCATATATTAATTTTATTGTTTTTGACATTTGCTTTGATTGATACCATTGCTGGTTTTTTTGGGTTGTCTTTTGTTAACCACTTAGATGTTTTTTAGTTTGAGTAAGCAACATATGCATTATGTCAAAAATTAGAGAGAGAGAGAATTTTTGACATAATGAATATGTTATGCATTACATAATGTGGGCCTTTCTTCTACCCATGAATATATTGATGGGTGGAAAGAAGGCCCACATTATAGCCTGAAGTTCGTGGTACAGTTTGGTCTTTGAAGGGCTGATATGATATTATCTAGCCATGGGCAACTTAAGATGGAAGGGAAATTCCTATTCAGAAGATAGTAAATGCAAGTTTGTACATGAAATAGTCTGATCAGTATTCCTGTGCTTCTTAGATTTTGAGTTTAGAATGGCTATGAGCCATCTTTGTAATCACCACAATGGAAGGCAATTTAATGATTTTCAATATTTATTTGAGATTAGGAGTGTTGATGGATTTAGTGTTTTTTAGATTGATTAATCTTCTGCCTCTTAATGAATCAGCCAGTGAATCTCTACACAAAATTTATAGATATTTGAGTGTTACCTAATCCTTAAAATAGGGGCTTTTAAAAGTTCATTAAGTACATGTGAGACTTTATAGAAGTAAACAAAGACTATCAGTCATTTGTTTGGAAGGAAGTCTTTCTTCATTTTTATTCCTTATCACAGTTATGTAACATTCAAAATAACCTTGAAACATATGCAGAATATATTCTAGTGCTAAAAATTAAAAATTGCTTCATTGATTGAATTGATCTTCCCTGATTCAAGGTTTGAGCCCAAACTGAAGTCTACAGATTGCCTTATTTCTCCACTCCATACAATATTAAACCCCACAGAAGATTTTTTAATATTATTATTATTGAAACAGTATTCCACAAATTCTAAATTTGGTGTGGTGTTGGGATATGTATGAGCCTGAGATTGCCCAAGTAATATGGGACATTTCCAGAATTAAATCAACATTTGTAAGTCTTGTATGACTCATTAACAAATTAGTTTCATGGTTGACTTACATTTGTACATGTCAGGGTGTGAATTTTATATACAGATCAACAAGATGGGACAGATTGAGGTGTGAACATATTTATGTAAGGGATCTGTAGGTTTAGAAATAAAGAAAGCAGAATAGGCTCCCTATTGATGCCTTTTGATTTGCCTTGTTCTTTCCACACTCTGATATCCAAGAAGCTTTGAAGATGACAGTCAGATATTGTGTATTAAGTAGAAGCCAAAGGCTTGTGACAGAGCAAGTCAGAAAGCTAAGGATATTTCAAAGCCTTAACTAAATATCGGCATATACCATGTGCCAACCCTTCACTCACAGTTAGTGGAACACATGTATTTCTGTCTCCTGCTTCTCTCTCATTCTCTCGGCCAGAAACCAAACAACGCACAAGCTGGCCAACAAGTGCCACATTTTCTCAAGCAAGATGAAGAAACCACCCCGGTTGTGGACTCTCCAATCGCCACTCTTTCATCTACATCAGCTATTCCAGCCGAAGGAGGAGGGTTTCTTTGAACTTCTTTGAACTAATTTGAACTTGGAGCTGCAAACTGATTTGAACTTTGAACTCATTCAAAATTCAAACTTGGAGCTATTCGAACTTGGAGCTTCGAACCCTTAGCCCACTTAAGTCCCCTTGGCCCACTTAAGTCCCTTTAGCCCACTTAAGACCCATTAGGCTACTTAGGTCCCCCTAGCAAACTTAGCTCACTTACATCCGCATTAGCCCATTTAAATTCACTTTAGCCCCCTTACGTCACCTTAGACCACTTAAGGGACATAAAGGGACTTAAGATGGCTAATGGGACTTAATTGCTTAAGGGGACCACAGGGGGCAGGCTTCAGCATTTCACTCAAGAATGGTGCCAAACAACAACAGATGGGTGATGTAGTGGTTCTAGGGGTTGCTCATGCGTAAGCCGGTGCAAACACCTGGCTGGGTTGCCTGAGTGAACCTTTTCTGTCCGGACAGCCACTCACCCGTGGCTGTCTCAATCGCTGGCAGAATCTGTCAGTGGGCATTTCTTAAACTTCTTCCAGCAAAGAAGCTCTTTGACGCCTAGTCTCCTCCTACTCTCTCTGCGCGAAAGCCTTCTGTGCAAGGAGGGCGTAGGCAGCGGAGGACCCCTACTCTCCCCGCTGGTCCCCGGCAAGGAGTCATGGGACCACCTCGCCGCTTCCCCCATCTGCCCCCCTTCTCCACTGGTGCTACGCTGATTCTCTTCCCCAGAAGATGGGCTACCTCTCCCAATCCCGGGACGCTCTCTGGAATCCCTCTGGATCTTGCTCTCTCCCTCTGGCACTGATGGCAGTTCCCTGACAGGTGATCAACACAGTTTCTTGCAGATACTCTTTGTTTTTTTCCAGAAGTGCAAGAAGTTCCCAAGAGTGTGACATACATATAAACAACATCACATCACCTCTCAGTTGGCCCTTATGCATAAATCTGTTTCTCTGCTAATGTTAAGGTAAAGGTAAAGGTACCCCTGCCCGTACGGGCCAGTTGTGTCCGACTCTAGGGTTGTGCGCTCAACTCACTTAAGAGGCCGGGAGCCAGCGCTGTCCGAAGACACTTCCGGGTCACGTGGCCAGTGTGATGAAGCTGCTCTGGCGAGCCAGCACCAGCGCAGCACACGGAAACACTGTTTACCTTCCCGCTATAAAGCGGTACCTATTTATCTACTTGCACTTAAGGGTGCTTTCGAACTGCTAGGTGGGCAGGAGCTGGGACCGAACGATGGGAGCTCATCCCGCCGCGGGGATGCGAACCGCCGACCATATGATCGGCAAGTCCTAGGCGCTGAGGTTTTACCCACAGCACCACCCGCGTCGCTCTGCTTATGTTAAAAAGGTAAAGGTACCCCTGCCCGTACGGGCCAGTCTTGACAGACTCTAGGGTTGTGCGCTCATCTCACTCTAGAGGCCGGGAGCCAGCGCTGTCCGCAGACACTTCCGGGTCACGTGGCCAGCATGACGAAGCTGCTCTGGCGAGCCAGCACCAGTGCAGCACACGGAAACGCCGTTTACCTTCCCGCTATAAAGCGGTACCTATTTATCTACTTGCACTTAAGGGTGCTTTCGAACTGCTAGGTGGGCAGGAGCTGGGACCGAAAGACAGGAGCTCACCCCGCTGCGGGGATGCAAACCACCGACCATACGATCGGCAAGTCCTAGGCGCTGAGGTTTTACCCACAGCGCCACCCGTGTCGCTCTGCTTATGTTACCAGGCTGCTAAATCTTACTGCCATCCCAAGTACAGACAAAAGGGCTAAGCCTGTCAAAATGTTTTGTTCCAGCTATTTGGCAAACGAACTTAATATTCCAGTATTTCAAGCATCTGAATAGTTTTCCATTCTGCTCCTGTTTGTCCTTGCTGTTGCAATCGCTTGAGATCTGGAATGGCTATGAGTTTGAAGTTACAGAGGGAGCCCTCAGAGAAAGACTCTTATCTGTTGCTTCAGGTGTATTTCAAGTAAGTTTGTCCTTTTGAACTTTGGCTTCGATGTTCTTGAGTCAGGACTAGGTTCAAACTGTTTAGCCACATCCCCATTAGATTTCACTGCATTATCCAAGCAGCGCATCCCAATATCCCTTTCGAAGTCATGACAATGCTGTAGTAAAGTGAAGAAACACTTGGAGATGGTATGTTCCTTCGCCAATACTTGAAAATATTACTCGTCCAGCTTTCAGCTGTCTGTGCAGTTGGGTCGGCGTGACTTATCAAGGGTCTCCAAGAGTGAAACCAGAAATGATGCTAAACAACATTGCTAGAAGTTGCATCTTTGATTCTGTAATTTTGTTGTTGTTTAGTCATTTAGTCGTGTCCGACTCTTCGTGACCCCATGGACCAGAGCACGCCAGGCACTTCTGTCTTCCACTGCCTCCCACTGCAGTTTGGTCAAACTCATGCTGGTAGCTTCAAGAACATTGTCCAACCATCTCGTCCTCTGTCGTCCCCTTCTCCTTGTGCCCTCAATCTTTCCCAACATCAGGGTCTTTTCCAGGGAGTCTTCTCTTCTCATGAGATGGCCAAAATACTGGAGTCTCAGCTTCAGGATCTGTCCTTCCAGTGAGCGCGCTCAGGGCTGATTTCCTTAAGAATGGATAGGTTTGATCTTCTTGCAGTCCATGGGACTGTATTATAGTAGTAAATAGCCACTGCTATTTTCATTAGGCTCATAAGCATACAGGGAAAGAATCAGTGGCTTGCAGTCAGTGGACTGGGGGACTAGGCTAGTCCCCTAAATGTTCCCCTCTGCCTCCTTTCCAAAGGCTGGGAAGCTTCTGCCCAGCTTAGGGAGGTGCGATGCTCACGTGTGCAACATCCCCCCAATTGCCCTTGCAAGCTGTTGTCTCTGGCCCTAACTGTTCCTCTATGAAAAGGATTTTTTTTTAAAAAAATCATTTTTATTTGATTTTACAAATGTAAATTAGTCACAATACCAAATATATATCTCCGTAAAATGAGATTTCTCTGAGTCTCAAGACTTTCCCCCATCCCCTCCTTGGGTCCTGTCGTCAACCTTTCTGTTATGTACTGACCTGAATAGGATCCAAATGGCAGCAGTCTGATTGGTCCTAGAACAATAGGATTCAGAATGCAGCAGTCTGATTGGTCCACAGGAGCCACCCAATCCAGCTCCAGGTGGAAGGGAATCCGCAACCTCATTGGCTACAGGAGAATCCCGGAATTAGCCAATCACTTGGGGCCCATTGTGTAAATAATGTATATAAGACAGACAATCTGGAGGAACTTCCATTCCTCCTCACCACTATGAGCTGAATAAAGAGCATGAAATTCACTCTCGACTCTGAGTATATTTCACTTTCCAACTGCATATTATTCCATAGTCTATATTTTGTATCTATCCATATTGTCCATAGTATTTGTTACATTGCAAGTGGGATCAAAATCCTGCTAATGTTTTCATCTGTTTACAGTGGTCTCCTAAATGAATTGTAAGCTCTCCCCATTCTTTCTTGAATTTCTTGTCTTCTTGGTCTCTGAGTTTCCTGGTCAGTTTTGCCATTTCAGCATAATTTGCCATTCCTCTCTAGTAGGGACTCTTTCTTCTTTCCATCTCTGGGCTAGTAGCATCCGTGCAGCTGTTGTCACGTACATAAAGAGCCTTTTCTGTTCCTATGAAAGATTTCACCTCATGCCACTGGAAGGGATTAACCCTTTCTTCCACATTGCAGGAAGATCCATCATGAAAATGCCTTTCCCTTGCATCTGATATTATCCCTAGGAAGGAAGCTCTTCTCAGTTCCAATAAGATCTCCTCCTCCCCAGGGTTCATAGCAGCCACAATGGTGAGGGAATTTTCACTGGGACTGTGGCAGGCAGAAAGGCAAGGGTTGAACCCCATTCTCTAAGCTCCACAGTTCTTGTGGGTGCCACTCTTGTGACTGTCATATATATATAGCCAAGTTACAGGGAACCAGGCAGAGGGCCTTCTTGGTAATGGCATCTGCCCTGTGGAACGCCCTCCCACCAGATGTCAAAGAGGAAAACAACTACCAGACTTTTAGAAGACATCTGAAGGCAGCCCTGTTAGGGAAGCTTTTAATGTTTAATAGGTTACTGTATTTTAATATTCTGTTGGAAGCTGCCCAGAGTGGCTGGGGAAACCCAGTCAGATGGGTGGGGTATAAATAATAAATAAATAAATAAATTATTATTATTATTATTATTATTATTATTATTATTAACAATCAAATCAAAGACACAACTTCAAGCAACTCAGCAGATGTCACATCTACTATGTGTAATTAATCTATAGATAAAACCAGAAGCTTAATTCCAAAATGCTGCTGCGTCATCTACCCAGAGAGGCAAATCTCTGCATCACGCATGCCCCAAAGCCAGAATATGTGTCTCTGACCTGCCTCCCACCAATCTCAAAGCAGTAGTAATATCTGGCCAGAGGTTACAGATAACCACCTATTCCTATGGCTACAGTCACTGTGCAACAGGTTTTAAGTGGCTTCAGGCATAAGAGGTTGCCTGTTTTCCCCAATACATTTTCACTACAATGTATCTATCAGGATGGCACACTGAATCAATGCATCTATCAGGATGTACAGTGGAACCTCGTGTTACGGACGGGATCCGTTCCAGAGGCCTGTCCGTAACACGGAACTGATGCAAGCCGAAGCGCCTCATCTGTGCATGCGCACGGCGCGATTTAGCACTTCTGCGCATGTGGCGAAACCCGGAAGTAACCCGTTCCGGTACTTCTGGGTTGCTACGGGACGTAACACGAAAAGATGTAACCTGAAGTGGATGAAACATGAAGTATGACTGTATACAGCAGCAAAATTTCGTCTTCTTCTTCTTCTTCTTCTTCTTCTTTTTCTTCTTCTTCTTCTTCGTATACCACCTTTCATTCATAGATCTCAGGGAAGCTTAAAAACAGGAAATTACTTTGCCCTTTTCTCCTCTGTCCTAAAAATAACTGCATTTTTGAAAGGCATGTGATATTAGAGAAAGAGTCCTTTCCCCCATTTATAAGTGTGGCTTAAAAAAAAGGTTTCACTGTTATTGCTTCCTAACTCCAGTTTTTATTATATTACAATATTTTATTTAATTAAACAAATATAAAAAGGAATAACAATATCCCTTCTTACAGATTCAGGTAGGTAGCCGTGTTGGTCTGACACAGTCAAAATATATAATTATTTTTTTTTTAAAAAAAATTCCAGTAGCACCTTAGAGACCAACTAAGTTTGTTCTTGGTATAAGCTTTCGTGTGCATGCACACTTCTTCAGATGGTACACTGAAACAGAAGTCACCAGACCCTTATATATAGTGAGAGGGTGGGGGTGGGGTTTTTCTCAGGATGGTAGTGGGAGATGGGTGATTGACTCAATGGGTATGTTAAACCTGTTGACGACTGTTAACGACTGCAATTAGTCCTACAGGAAAAAGCAAGGGATAGTATGCAGATGATTAGCATATGTAATGAGACAGAAATCCAATATCTCTGTTAAGACCAGGTCTCTCCATAGTTTTCAGTTTAGTGATAAGTTGTAATTCAGCAACTTCTCTTTCAAGTCTGTTTCTGAAATTCTTTTGTAATAGGACAGCTACTTTGAGATCTCCTAGGAGACTGAAGTGTTCTCCTACTGGTTTCTCTGTCTTGTGGTTCCTGATGTCAGATTTATGTTCATTTATCCTTTGGCGTAGGGTTTGGCTTCTTTGTCCAATATAGAGAGCTGAAGGGCACTGTTGGCATTTGATGGCATACACGCCAAATGATAAATGGACATAAATTCATATACAGTGGTACCTCGGGTTAAGTACTTAATTCATTCCAGAGGTCCGTTCTTAACCTGAAGCACCACTTTAGCTAATGGGGCCTCCTGCTGCCGCTGTGCCGCCGCCGCACGATTTCTGTTCTCATCCTGAAGCAAAGTTCGTAACCCGAGGTACTATTTCTGGGTTAGCGGAGTCTGTAACCTGAAGCATATGTAACCTGAAGCGTATGTAACCCGAGGTACCACTGTATATATAAAAT